TTTTACTTCATACAGTTAAACCCGCACGATATCAGACCTGTAGTAGCGCGTAAAAAATTTGTTAGATCATATAACCTTAGTATCTGAAGCAGGCTCTTTTACTTCATGCATGAACGATGTCACACAATCGAATAGGTTGTTATAAGGAGCGTATATGTAACGTAATATTATTTATAGCATCCGTTTTCCGGCAGGAAAGAAGTGGATCTTTTATTCAGATAATTTTTAAACAACGAACTCTTTAAAACCAGTCGACATGAACTACACCATTTTAACTACACCCTTATCAGGCAATTTGCTTTTAAAAACGAAAAAAAAATACTTAATATGTAAATGCAAGCAAGTTTAACAGGAAAGAAGGCTGTAAAATCTAAACCAGTTGACCATAATACTTAAATAAAATAATGGTAATGAATGTTGAAGAAAAGGGCCTTCATCAATCAATACCTTTAACTTTTATTGCTTTAAACATTTTCATATTGCAGCAACTACAGCTTCAGCTTATGTTTAAAACGTTTGTAACAATATATTTTAGTAATGTTATAGTATTATTAAATGACCAAAAGAAAAAGTGTAACTAGGAATATGAAACAAAGTTGTTTTTCAAAAATAAAAAAAACATTTTCAATGGAAATTTTCGTTGTTAATATTTATTATTATTAGGCGGCCGTTACGTTAATAATACTAGCTACTTTCAGATAGGATTCATGAGTTTTTATACGAAAGTTAGCATACATTCTGTTACTCAGTTTTCCAGAAAATTGTGAATATTCATACTAAATAAAAGATTACACAAAATGTTAAAATATTCAATAAGTGAGATTTAAAGAATATTAAGAATAATTCTAAATAAAGATTATGTTGCATTAACGTATGTACGAATTCAACAAAATCAAAATTAAATCTAGTTTTATTGATTTCATTAGTAGTCCCCTACTTTTTTAAACCTCACTTATTTAATGCGGTCTTAAAATAACATTGTTTACTTAATATTGTGACCAATCTGGCCCGAGTCATATACAAACCGCCAAATCTGGTGTCTGACAGGTAAACAAATAAAACACAAAGACACCTTCAAAAGATATTTATTTATTCGATCGAAGAAATTGGCAGTCATAGTGATCCTCAATAGTAGTAGGACCTTTATACGTACGTTGTGTGATATTAGTAACTTATTCAGATTCTTTTACGAGTTTTATACAAGTTATATTAGCTAATAAACAAAACACTGAAATGTGGATTCATTTTTTCTTTTGATTTGAGAGGACCTTAAAAGGATCCAACATTTGTTGCATGGATTGTAAATATTCCAACAAAACTCAATTAGATCATTGTACCTTCAACATAATGTTCAAATGTCCTTAACTCACATAACAAGTCAAAAGCAACGTGGCATTTTCTAGGACCGACAAGCATCATTTTTACCAACTTAGGGAATTGAGAGTTCGTAACAACTAATAAAAAGGATACCAAAAGTTGGGTGTTGGTACAAAGTCCGACGTAGTTAAAACCGTGCACGAACGAATTGTTGTAGGCTACGCTTTGGCATGTTCATCTTGACCAGGATGAAAAAAAGTTGTGCGAGACGGGACTATAACTGTGATTATAAGTAGCTACATCTGCTGTACTTTTGGTAGTATATGTTAAAGTACCTGTTGTCTGAACTTGATCATTTATCGTAGGTCACGGGCGTAGAATAATAGTTTGGTTGTGTGTACATTTGGGGGGGTTGAGGGGGGTTTATAAATGCCACTAAAGATCATCGTATCTGTATATTGGAGTCGATACATGCCACTGAAAATCATCGTATCATTATGGGTTTATGCATCCCACTGAAGATCATCGTATCTTTATAAGGAGGGTTGATGCTTACTACTGACTGTCATCGTGTCTTTATAAGGTGTGTTGATGCATGCCACTGAAGGTCATCGTATCTTTATAAGGAGGGTTGATGCATACCACTGAAGGTCATCGTATCTTTATAAAAAGTGTTGATATATGCCACTGAAGGTCATCGTATCTATTTTTATGGCAGTTCAGAACAACTGTACGTCAAGTTACAGAGACTTTCTCTTCTCTAACCAACACTTTTTTAATAGAGAATTTTGCCTTATTATTTGAGCAAAACTAAAAATGACTAATAATATAAATACACCTGTCACAAAAGCAACGCCTTGAGATGCTCGCAACGGTCAGTGACTATTTCAAGCTGTATAATCGATTTAACTTGATTAAGTCAAATGTGCGTGCTTGTCGTGCACATACTTAGTGCAAGCACAATACAGCGGTCCATTTGCGAACAACTACATTTTATTTATTTCGATTGTGTCTATTTAATAGAAATGAAACGATGTTCCGATAAACAACAATAATAACAATCATAATCATTAGGTAGGTATTTATTTTTAATTACTATAATGAACCTATAATGAACTAGGTAATAATAAATTATCAACCAATAACATAATAACAANTTTATTTTTAATTACTATAATGAACCTATACTGAACTAGGTAATAATAAATTATCAACCAATAACATAATAATAAGAGGTGGTAGTAACCCTATTTACAGTTAGGTTTTTCAAAATATATAACATTAATCTTTGCGATTTTAAGAAGTGAAGTCAAGATTTGTTACTTTAACGGCTTAACGTTACATTTTTCGAAAATGGAAATTATCGAAACAGCAAAAGGAAAGCCTTCCTTGGTCTACAATGGTTATCAATATCGAAAATGTCGTGAAAACAGCAAAGGTGTAATAATTTGGTTATGTATTCAAGAGAAAAAACAACAGTACAAAGGAATGTTAAAGAGCAAGTGTGATGAAGTAATGTCAGTCACACAAAATGCTTGTAAGCCGGATATGGCGCTTATTGAAGTAAAGAAAGGATTGTTTTCGGCAAAAAAACGAGCACGGAAGGAAGATGTACCTATACTAAAGATATACTCCGAATAGATGGAACCGCTATATAACAGAGGCTAAATAACTTACTGTCTGTTCGCAAATGAAACTATAATTTCCAGGTCAACCCAAGGCTGCTTATTGCTGTTCGCAAGTGGCACTAAATCTCATTTGTTCGCAAATGATACGTTCGCAAATAGCACTAACTCGATATGGCGATGGAGGACTCCACCAGCGTATGTAGCACAGAAAACCTAGGTACCCTCGCCAGGCGGCACCAATCAGTCAGATGATAGAGCAACGGCGGAACACCTATGTCGACCAGGTAATTTGAATAGGTCAGAAAACGAAGGTGGAACCAGATCAAACCAGGGCGTGGGATTACACCCTATGCAGTCTTATAACTCTTTAACGAGTTAAGTGAAAGGAGAATACCATAAAGAATGTTGTTTCGAACGCCAGTTAGGTAACCGTATTCAACCAAATAGGGAAAAGAAAGCTATCTCGAACGCCAGTACGGTGATCGCATGCAATCGAACAAGTATAGGAAGGCTACCTCGAACGCCAGTATAGTGACCGCATCCAATCAAGCAGGTATAAGAAAGCTATCTTAAACGTCAGTAGGGTGACCGTATCTAATCAAGCAAGTATAGGAAGGCTATCTCCAATGCCAGTACAGTGACAGCATCCAATTAAGCAGGTATAGGAAAGCTATCTTGAACGCCAGTACGGTGACCGAATCCAATCAAGCAAAGGTAGAGAGCCACAATATGTAGCTATGAAGGGTTACTCTCCCTTTTCCTTACCAGGGTAGGTGGAATGTCGGAGACTTCTATTGATAACTGAAATCGCTAATAAATAATGTTTCATACAACATTTGGGAAAAAGTAAGGAATGAGCGAATATAAAGATAGGACACGAGAAATTAGATGTGGCTGATTTTAGATATCTAGGAAGTCAGATAAGTCAGGACGGAAGGAGTAGTAGGGATATAAAGCAGAAGATAGCGCAGGGTCGAGTTGCCTTTAATAAAAAGAAGTCACTTCTATGCTCACGAACGGTTAATTCAGATATTCGAAAAAGATTGTTAAAGGTGTATATTTTGAGCACGACGTTGTACGGGTGTGAAACATGGACAGTGGGCGCGGTGGAAAAGAAAAGGTTAAAAGCGTTCGAAATGTGGTGTTATAGGCGAATGATGAGGATTCCATGGGTAGAAAAGGTTAGAAATGAAGAGGTATTAGAAAGAGTAGGAGAACAGAGGACTCCATGAAAGTCAGTAAAAAATATGAAGGTCTAGTCAGAGACATTTTAGAGGCAGAAACAGGAGTTAGGAGATTAAATTATTGTTCGCAAATAGTTAAGGATGTGGGTTGTTCTAGTTTTAGGGAAATGCGAAGTTTAGCTCAGGATAGGAAAGAGTGGAGGTACGTGTCCAACCAGTCTTAGGACTGACGACCTTATGATGATGACAACATTTGGGTACAGTTAAATAGCTTGTTAGTTACCGGTATAGCATCGATGAATCCCTTAATCCAAAAATACATTATTTGTGCAATAATATATATGTATAAAATAACTGTCAAAATAATGACAAAAAAATAATGTTGATTTTAAAACAATATCGTAGGTCTAAATCTAAATTGGAGATTTGGAGAAATTATTTCAGTTATTAAAGTTACTTACAATAAAAAATTCCTCAAAGTCTAATGCACATACGCTCGTTTGATTTACTATATATAGACATACACACTTGCTTCACCAGTACAATATGGTGGTACACCAGTACAATATGGCGTCCATTCATGACTTACTTTTACTTTGAATGCTACAATTAAATACAAAGCATCAAATGGTACGCTCTATATTTGCCTCTAACTTTTGGTATTGTCTATCCATGTGGTTAAGGTTCGTCATATCTGTTAATTTTATTGTAAAAGTTTTGAGTTGGGGTTGATGGTTGTTATACTAACTAACTTAAAGTTTCTGTAATGCAAGCATCCATTTAATTTTGAAATACATAATATTCCCTTGCCCATGCATTAATTTGAACAAGATAACAGCCACTGCGAATAATTCAAAATTGGAAAAGTTACCTGATTCTCACTGCTCAACAGTTTTAACTGGTCGTTTATCATGCTGTATTTGGCAGATTCTTCTTTTCGAAGCGCTCTCTCCTTCTTCAGTTCGGGACTCCAGAACGTTTTTATGGAATGCATGGATGAACCGAGTTTTTGATTGGTTAATTCTAATTCCTTCTTCAGATTTCCTAATTCTCGTTGGAGGTCCGAGTTTTGACTTTGCAGTTCTCCTATAATGATTAAAACAATAGCTGTATTTATGTCAACCCTAAACTAAAATATTCTCTTAGTACAAAACTCAAAAAGTATTGTCTCAGCTATGTCTGCATTTTTTATGCCAACATTTAATATTATATACTGGGTGCTAAGACGGTTCTATCAATAACTCTGTAATTATACTTTTAATAAAAAAAAAGTATTTATAGAAGTCTGAAATCATATGGTATATATAAAGAAAGTATTTTCAATCATACAGGCTGTTCAATTTCTTCTGGACGCTACCTAACTGCGTCATTTTAAATGGAATACCCTGTATATTTTTACATTTTTCGTTTTTTTTGTTTAATTTGAGGTCGACTTTGTTAACAGTTCCTTTACTTAACTGTTTTTAAAAAAAAATTACGATTTCAGCTGTTTGAATGAGACCTGCGGTTTGGATCTTTTTTGCTACGGGAAAAATATGTATGTTATTCAGAGCCGGAAATGTTGAAATCATCTTTTGGTAATCTTATAAGGTGAATAACTTTTTTTTTTCAAATGGAATGATCCATATTAAATGATGCCATTTGATGCAAAATTTAAAACCCTTTCTACCAATATGATATACCTAAGGCTTTAAGTATAAAATAATCGATTTTTTCTGGAAAACAGTCAGAGAACAAATATTTCGCAAAAATGTTATACGTTTTGTAAAATTGTTGTTCTTAAAACAAACTCTCCAAACCGCAGGTTTTTAACTTTTATGGATTGGATAGTATTTGATTTCATTCAAACAGCTGAAATCTTATTTTTTTTTCAAAAACCATTGAATATCTCAAAAACTACTACAGGGAATTGTTTACGAATAAAACCAAAAATGTAAAAATAAACAGGATGTTCTATTTAAAATAGCGAAATTAGGTAGCGTTCAAAAGGAACACCCTGTATAACTGAAAATATTTTCTGCAGATACACCATATGATTCCAGACCACTTTTATAAAAAAAATTTTTTTTAAGGAATATGGACGAAACCGCCGTAGGTGTATGAAATTATTTTTATTTTGTTTTGTTTTTTCTTTCCATTGGTTCATCATTTGTAAATAATGCGTTTTCAACCACCTATATCTAAGGTTGAAATTCGGGTTCTTGTCTGTAAAAATTTTTCGAAGTCTTCTTGTTCTGGTTTGTTCGATCCTGCATCTGATCTCTTGATCCGAATCCCATCCTTCGTTAACCATGTATCCCAAATATTTAAATTGCGTAATCTGCTCGATATTCTCTTCATAAATATCTATACGAGTGTGAGGAATATCGTTCCTACAAACGATAATAAACCTGGTTTTGCTGATGTTAATTTCTAAACCTAGTCTTTGGCTTTCTTCGTTGACCCGATTTAATAGATTTTGGAGATCATGTGCATTATCTGTTAATATCACGGTATCATCCGTATACCAGNTATAAAAAAAATTTTTTTTAAGGAATATGGACGAAACCGCCGTAGGTGTATGAAATTATTTTTATTTTGTTTTGTTTTTTCTTTCCATTGGTTCATCATTTGTAAATAATGCGTTTTCAACCACACTCGATTTCACTTTAAACTAAACTAATTTGTTCTGGACGAAACCAGTTTTTCTTCGACAAGACCAAATCATTTAATCTAATCAAATAAAAGTTAAGTAGTTTAGATCAATTTAGTTTATCCAACCTAGAAAGCTAATACCTATTTAACTTCCTATATAAAGAATTTCGATGACAACTTTTTTCGATTTGTACGCAAAAGTGTAAAATAGTTACAACAGCAGGGTTGCAAGGAAAACGCAAAACAAGAATGTTTCAACTGATATACATACACATATAAGTATTTTATTTACTGGACAAATGTTTAACTCTTGAAAATGACCGACTACATTAACTTTTACTCTCTCCAATATTTATTGGACACATGAATCATAAATTTTTAAAAACATTATGTTTTTCAACTTCCCAATGAGGAGTTATAGTAATGGGCCCGATTTTGTGACTCCCAAATTTTGACATATCTCCACGTTTCAAGGTTCTTAAAAACCACCGCGGCTAAAAGACTATTACTCGCTGCAAATGATAAGGATGTAGCAACTGTTCCTTTAAAAATTGCCACACTGAGAGGAGCCTCTACTGTTTGCATGTACTGTTTTGGGGGATTGTCTTCTTTAAAATTGAGGATTTCGTCTTTACAGCAGTGATACGGTTCAATCCCGTAGATACGCATCATGTCGCATTATTGTAACAACAACTGTTCTATACTAATAATTGATGTTGTATTGCTGAATTAGTTTATTAAACTACACAAGGTTTAAATGGTTAAAAGAATAAACGGCTACTGGAGGTTGGCTGTTAGCATAAACAATACATGAGCAAAAAGAGTACAAAACAAATACTATACTCAGGCTAGTAATTACTAGCTGATTGAGTGCAGCGTTGCGGGCCGTAATTCTCTACCAGAGCCGGAATTGAATTTATCTGTACTTTCAACTACGTTTTTATCGAAAACGATCAAATTTCGGACACAGAAACATTTACTTAATTTTCATGTTCTGTAGTGCTTGTATCACCTCCTGTAAACTCGGCATTTATTTCTGTTACACCCTGTATAGAACCGCAACAAATGATATCTCAATTACAACTACGAATGTTCACAATAAAAACCGACAAGGGATCGGTGCCTGCTCGAATGCATTAATGAGGAACATATGATGCCCGTTTCAATAGTACAATCATCAAAAATGTTGCGTTGTACGTTGCTTTACTTGCCTCATTTGTTTCGTTTGCTCCCATATCTAGTCTTCTTGATATATACATTTCACGTTTATATGAACGAATTATCATCAACTTTTAGAAACTTAAAACAATCACAATATAAATCCCCGATAAAACGTACCAGAAGTTTGATATAATGATGTTTTCCTACCCACTTATTGGATATAACAACTTCTCCCTGAGAAGATAAGATTTGATTTTTTTGTCAATATTTTATTATATAAAATTGACCTTGGTTAGGGTTAATTAAACTGCTTAATCCTGATCAAATAATTTGACTTCGGAACATTGGTTTATCTGGAAATCGTTTCTATTGGCATATAGTGCTGCTACGATAAACAGAAGCCAATAACTGGGAATATATTGCAGTTTCATTTATGAAACTGAATAACGAACACGTTTGAACATAAACATGCGATATTGAATACAGCTGATCGACGGACTGATTGTGAGTGCCCTACATTACAAAAGCTGTGGCCCATGTGATACATAAAAGATTCATCCAGGCCATTGACAATGGACCCTTTTGTTGTCGTTTATAAAGGCGAGCGACGGCGTCGCTTTTAGTGGATGTCAGTTTCGAAATTTTCCAGAAATATGTATAACAGGCGAAGTCAACGGTCTACCGGTTGTTTGAATGCCATTTTCAAGCAGTAAATCTTATATGTGTAGTTATTGTTCCTTTAACAAATAAACTTACATTGAAAGGATTCAAAGAATTGTGATAAATTGTGAATCATATAACAAAATAAGGCACGCCATATTCTTCGTCCTGAGTAGTATACTAGCACTAAACATGTTATGATTTGTTGAATGCTAGAATGTGTAACAAAGAGCGTCCCAATTCGGGGAATGTGGAACAATGAGTAACTCCTTTAGTAAAATTATTATTTGCTTTCGGTCTTTCTAGCCATCGTCTTCGGAAATTATTTCCCGATTCCGACGTTTCTCCTACAACTGCGACAAGAATATTAAAGGGTAGTACGTTGCTCTTTTAGATCTAGTTAACTAGCAGTTAGCTCTACTTAGCACTCAAGGCAACTAAGGGCGAGAAGGGCAACGTGATACCCTTGAAAATACCTGCCGCAGTTGTAAGGAAAATGTCGGGAAACAATTTCCAAAGACAACGGCTAGAAAGCCCGATATAAGCCTACGCATATTTTTTAGTAACTGCTTTAGGCTAGCGCCCTTTAAATCTTTTAAATAAAGAAACAAAAGTAAAAAGTCATAATCTAATTCAAGAGTTTCAAGAGGTCTCCTAGGTGGTTGCAAGACCTTTCCTAAACTAAAAAAAAATTTGGTTTTGTTTTTGCTAACACAAATCAACATATTATTTTAAAAATCTAATATGTTATGAAAAATGCTACTTCAGAAGGATGGCGCCCTTGCTAAATTAATCTATCAATATTGTTTGAGGCGCAATACATTTATTTTGGATTCTGTTGCAGATGGTAGCGTATGTATATCCAAAAATTGTACAAATTAAAAACCGTTTTGTTTTTAAAGTGAAACTTTATTACATCGCCTCAAATTTTTTTGTCCATTTATCGCAAGTCGCATTACAGCCGGCCGTGGAGTAGGTGTAAAACTGAAAGGCGCTCGGCAGAGCAGCCAAGGCCAATATGGCGGCGCCCATGGCTCGCATGAGCTAACCGTGTAGCATTAATATTCTCACTCATTCGTGCAAGTGCATGACAATTACATTTATAGACTGTGAAACTCAAAGCAAAGATAAAATTATTGATAGAATAACTGAAGTTCAAAATGATTCAATGATTTAAATAAATATTGTTCTCGGTTTTTGACATTCGTCTATCATCTGAATGATTGTATTTATTATGTATTTCGTACTCTCATAAGCAGATTGAAATTAACATTTATGGTTGGATATTACTACTACTATTGATTTCCCATTATCATTCCCATTTTCAAATCATTAAAATAAGATTAAGAACGCGATTTTAATTTTAATACCCTAAATCGAATAATTTTCCGAAAATTTACAATTAAATGCCTACAATCCGAAAAGATTCACTTGCATCGTGGTTTCATAAATGCACCATTTTTTTTTTTTTTTTTAATAAACAAAAGTACTAATATTTTTTAAATTATTATGTGAAATAACATTATACGTACATTGCGTGTAGATCGATTTTACTTATTCCCTACTTATTACTCCCTGGTGAATAATAAAAAACAAAAAGGAACGAAGTACAGTCGAAAAGCTAATGTGAA